TATATATATATATATATATATATATATATTGTATTTTTAGTAGTAATAGACCTAGTTGAGGGATTTTGACTTTGGGCGATGAAATCATTAATAAAAGTACATGTTTTTAATATCTTTGATCTATTTATGGTGAAATAGACGAGGATATTATTTATAGAATTCAAGTTAGATGGTGGAAGTAGTAGAATGCATTGGGCGTTCTTGTGTGGACATAGAGGAATGTGTTGGGCATAACTTATTATAGACAGGATATGAAAATAGCATATATGTGAGAAGGTTAGAGTAGCTCATATGGAAGATAAGATTGGAGAGAGTCGCCTTGGATGTTTTGGTCACATAAAATGACAGCCTTCCGAGCAGGCTAAGTCTCTTTATATTTTTCCTAAACGGAGGCTTGTAGATTTCTCATTGATCGGGAACTTATGTGAAATTAAAAATTCATCTATTTTCCTTCAATAAATGTTATAATATTATCAAATATAAACATATTATATGTAGGTTATACTATGGATATCAGAACTCAAAGAAGTTGGATGTATAATTGATAGACGCATGGACGAAATATATTAACAGATGAGTTCATTAAATGGGTGAATTTTTTCATTCAGATAGCTTCTTCATTATCCAGCTTCATCTCAGATAAAAAGTCTCATTGCCCATATTTTAAACATAAAAATCAAGTGCACATAAGCTCATATGATGTAACTATTGATATATACCATCAAGAATTCATGCCAGAATATTAGTATATGGTGACTATGAACCACATTTTGATTCTTTATGTGGCCCATCAATAAGGTTTAAAATATTTGAGGAAGAAGATACCCGACCTAATCTTGAAAACTTAGTTTAAGATGCAACTGGAGCAAAATTTAAATAATATATAGAAGAGTCACCTAATAAGGATGAACAAAATTTTTTATGAATTACTGCATGCTTCCCAACAATCAAAATAAAAGGGGTACACCACTCACTCAAAGTTATCCATTGCTGTTAAGATGT